GCGGCCGCGGCGCTGGAGCGGCCATGAAGGTAAAACGGGGCGGGGGGAGAAACGGGGGGCGCCTCCCGCATCGCTGCGTGTGTGCGGGGGACAACGCGAGCCGTGACCCCGGTGGGCCGGGCGCCGCCACCCCTCCCCTCCCCCCTTCCCCTCAGCTCCGTAATCCGCCGATCGCGGCGAGGCCGCGGCCGCCTCCCCTTCCCGCAACCGGCACCGGTGAGCGGCGAGTCCCGGCGCTGACTCAGCACCGCGCGGGGCCTGGCGGGGGGGTGTCGCCGCGCCGCGGCCTCGGGCGAGTCTCTGCGCCCGCCCCCGGGGCCGTTTCCACCGAGCGGCGGCGCGTGAGGACAGCGGCCGTTGGGGGCGTTGGGCGCGAGGCGCGGGCCGAGCAGAGGAGCACGCAGAGGGGAAAATATGTCTTAAAAAGGAGAAAAAAAAAAAAAGGAGGGAAAAAAAGGGGAAAAAAGGAAAAAAAAAAAAGGAGAAAAAAAAATCCGTGGCCCAGGACGTTAATGGCTGAAGTTAGGCGGATATAAAGCGGTGAGGACTGAGCGAGGCGTCCCTTGTCGCCGCGACGTGTGTGCCCGCAGGACGTGCCAAGTTGTGGCGAGGAGAGAGCTGAGCGGCCTGGGAGAAGAGGAGGAGGAAGCCGTGGCTGGTATCGTTAGAAATGGCTTGTTAGTGCAGAAATCGCTTAATTTTCTGCTCCCTGGTGTGCCTGGCTCGTGTCAGTGGTTTTTTGGTGTGCGATTACTTTACGGAGAGATAAAAACCTTCTCCGGGCAGTGCCTGTAATTCAGTTAGCAGTTAATAGTGCTAATAAAGAATGAACAATTGATGTAGGTTAAGGAGAAAATGAATGATGCCCGTGTTGCGTTATCTTTTGCCTTAAAATGACCAAATGCTTATGGAGATGTAAGATCATTTTCTGGTTGATACTTAGCAATAGTCGTGCACAAAAAAAGAATAGTTTTTTTTTTCCTAAATAAATACTTGTTTCGTGTTGATGGTGATGTAAGTGCAGTTGTTACAGGCTTACGAATGAAGTTTAAAAAGATGTTAATCAAGCAGATGACAGCAGTAGCTCCTAAGTCGTGTCCCTTAAGTCACGGTGTGTCCTCCTGCTGTGACCTCCTGGAAAGACTGTAGTTACATAGTGAAGCAGGTTGGCTTCTGAGGGTGCTGCAGACACCTCTGTACTTACTTTCTGTACTTACTTTCATGCCATTATTTCTTAATCTTTTAAATATAAAGGCCAGCTCATTCGTTTTTAAGAATATGCAGGGAATTAATGTTTCTGCAACTGGCAATTTTCCTTTCAGGTGAGATAAAAATAATTCAAGAGAGCTTCAAGTTTTAAAACTTGGAGTTTTGAAAAATAAATCTTGAGTTTTCTGAGCTGAACTCCTGTCTAATAAACTAGGATGAGCTTTATATGGGAAAAATTAATATCGATCCATTCCCATTCCTTGGCACTGAAAAGTGGAAGGKAAGTATTAGTTTAATGAAAGCTTATTATTGGCACGGCAGTCTGGTTGCCGAGTTCATCTGGAGTTTGTCTGATGTGTATCTGCCATGTGACAGGGATACCTGTGTCTTAGCTGGGGTCAGCGAAGGGCCACTGCTTGTTCATCCCTCTTGCACGCCGGCCTCAAAAGGCTTAGGAGGATTTAGGTGCACACTACRTGGAGGTTTCCTTCTTACTGTGTCTGTGATGAATTTTGCTCATGAAATACCTACGGAACTAGATTAATTAATGTAAAAAGTTGCATATGTGTCTTAGTGCCTGCAATGTTACACGTAGTGCAGCTTTGAAGAAAAATGACTGACGCCGCTCAGTTGCCGCTGGCGTTGCAGCACTTKCAATGTCAGCTTACGGCAACGAAAGTGAAAAACCAGGTTTGGGGAGACTGGAGAAGTGCTTCTTAGGGAGCATACGTGAACTTGTTGGTRTAAAACATGCTTAGTCCTSTGGCGTTGTTTCTCAAAGCTGCTTTCTAGAGTAAAGGCTCTTTTCTTCCTTTTATACTCAGTGGCTTGGACAAAGAATTTCTAGAGTATCTGCAATGGCTGTTGTTAAGGTCACACAAACATATCAGCGTAACACCGTCATAAATAGTATTCAATTTGGGGAGAATAAGAAAATTTACTTTAGGAACTGGTCTAGTTACTAATAATGGTGCTTTGGTTCGTTTCTTAAGGTGAAGTGTATACTCTGCGTATATGGTGAGCATTTGACAGCAGGWTTAAGTCTCAAATACAATTGTTTCATGTCTTTATGCTTTGTAAAAAGACGTTGTTCTGGAACAACAAAAAATGAACTAACACACAAAAATACGAAGAGAAGTTACGTTTAAAGGAAATGGTAACACTCAACTTCCTTCTCAAAGGAACATGGTGCACTTCTGTTTGATATTTTGTACAGTAATTTTCAGTGAGCCACCTGACAGTGATTAAACACTTGACCTGAACAGCTTGTGGTCCGAATTCCAGCTTTCAGTAGAAAGTTCACCTCCTGATAGAAAATCCTGTACAAAGTACTTTCAAGGATAGAAAATAGAAATGTAATATTTATATATATTATTTAGACTAGAGTTTGTGGTGTTTCATTCTATGATTAGATGGTATGAATCAAACTTGACATCCAGTCAACATTGAGTAAGTTTATTTGGAGCTCTTTTCTTTTGTTAAACCTTTTGCAGGACAATAAAACCGCAGGTCTAGGGAGAGCATGAAAGACAGTTATTGGAGTAACTTACTAATTGTTTCTATGAAGTTCAGTTTATTATCTTGAAGTTGGAAGAGCTAGAAACTTTTCTTTGGGGTAAACAAACACGAGGTAATAAACTTTACAAGAAACACTGACCTAATGTCACTGTGAGTCCTATAGAGCTGAGTTAGTGCTGGAGAATCTTGCACTGGGGCAGCCCTGCTCTCATGAGGATAAATTATGTGTTTGTATCACTGTTTCTCTCCTTTTGGCCTGTCTGTTTCTAGTCAATGTTCTGGGTACCTAGGATTGGCTGTTAGTCTCTTCCTTCTTTAATCTGCTTTGCTATTGCATTATCTCCTCAAATTCCTTACCCTTTTGGTCTCATGCAGAACTCTGCTAGAAAAGGAGCTATGAAAGCAAGCTCCTTGTGCTGGCTTTCGCCTCTTGAAAGGAAATCTTACCTACTTTGGTTTGCAGTGAAGAAGTGGAGATTACTGGGCTTGTTATAGACGTTCCTGTATTGAATTCCTAATGCCTGGGGAATTCATGCAACATGCTTTTGGGATGATGACAGATGGAGTGGAGTAGCTCTTTAATAGCAAGTCACGTATGATGTGGGTTTTAAGATACTATTTTCCCTTTTTTTTTTCTTTTCTTTTTTTTCTTTTTTTTTTTTCCCTTATTCTCCCTGTGAATGTTTTCAGGCGGGAGCTACTTCCATGTGGGCTTCCTGCTGCGGGCTGCTGAATGAAGTCATGGGTACTGGAGCTGTTCGTGGTCAGCAGGCTGGCTTYGGCGGGGGGACCGGCCCGTTCAGGTTTGCCCCAAACACAGACTTTGCAGCATACCCATCTCCAGCTGCTGGAGGAGCAAACATAGTTTGCAAAGCCTGTGGACTTTCCTTTTCCGTTTTTAGGAAAAAAGTGAGTATACTTCTTGTTACGTAATATTTTTACTCGTATCAACTAATGTGAAGGCGCTTTGGGAAATGAATATATATCTTTTTTCCTCATATGGGGAAAGGCAAGGCAGATAGCCAAGGAGAGAGTAAGTGCCTTGTTCTGAGGTCACAGGAAATTAATGTCAGACAGGATTAGATGTTAAGAGGTCTAATACATCCCATGCTCATTAATCAGTGACACGTTAGAGCTCGTCTGACCTACAAATTAATTGATTCTTATTTGTAAGATACATGTCTTAATTTTAGAATCTTGAWTATTAAAACAAATCTTCCTGTGTGTTTGAAGATGTTATCAAATGTAGTTCTTGATTATTGTAATGAACAAACTGAATGATGGAAAAGCTAAAAGCTCACAGCTCTATATTGCAAGTGCCTTCCATTAAATATTTAGCATAGTTCTGTTTGTGTCCTAACCAGGGTTAGTTCTGTGGAATGTTATTATACCCTTACTTCCTCTGGAGCTAGGTTGCTAGGTTAATGAGGCTTCCAAATAAATAAAATTCAAGCTTTTACAATTATTTCCATTAACATGATTGTCCAGCATCATTATCTTGTCCCCTTGGTGACCTAGGTCTGTGGTTCATTTGGATAAAACTGAAGCCTTTTTCTTCTGTTCTTACGTTTGTTTTCCCCTTTCCTCTTACTGCAGCATTGTTATCAGCACAGCAAGCAGTGTAGRGACATTTTCTGAGGCGAATATTTATTAAAAAATTGTGAAAAACTTAGACAAAGAAGAGTTTGGGTTTGTTCACAGCAGACGAGAAAATTATTTTAAATTGTAGCTGAAAGGCTTGCCTATTCTAGCTTCTGTATGTGGTAAATCTTTTGAACTAAGCCCTCTTCAGAAATGACACCTGGGCAGTTGAGGAGTATTTACCTGCTGTCTGGATCTTCACATTTAAGACATTTAAATATTTTYAAGTCAACTGAGAAAAAAAAGTATATTCTCTTAAGCTTATGGGGATCATATTCTCGTTTTATGCTTTTGAAGAAAAGCAGTGATAGTGTATTTTAACATACCATAAAATTATGTAATTACCAGGTAAACTACAATTTAGGTACTTTACCTGCAGTATTTTATTCATTAAGGCCTCAAATCAGCTTTCAATATTGCTACAAAAGCTACATAAACCTTGAACACTTGCAAAACTATTTKACAGGGCAATTTTACATACTTAACAATTTTGGTATACATCATTTTTAGGAATTGATTGAAAGCCTAAAATCAATAGGAAATGATGTAGCCTGAAGAAGGAAAGAGCAGGCTATAGATTAGTTTTCTGCATCAGTAAATACCTCACATAACAGCTGACTGGTTATTTTGTCTTTCTGCTTAGCACGTGTGTTGTGACTGCAAGAAGGATTTTTGCTCAGTTTGTTCAGTCTCCCAAGAAAATCTCCGAAGATGTTCTACATGTCACTTACTACAAGAAACGGCGTTTCAGCGACCTCTGTTAATGAGACTGAAAGTAAAGGATCTGCGTCAGTATCTGATCCTCAGAAACATCCCCACAGATACTTGTAGGGAGAAGGAAGACTTGGTGGATCTCGTGCTGTGCCATCATGGATTAGGTTCCGAGGAGGATAYGGACGCTGGTAGTTTGCATTCTTCACGGTCACAGACTTCTGCTTTTTTTACTCATCCATTTTCTATGTCTGTATCAGTGTCTTCTCAAGGAGAACTTGCAAACAGAAGAGGAAGCACGGGAAATGAAACACCTTTACGGGTACAATTATTCAAATGTGTTTTATGATTATGTTTTGTTTTTTAATAAAATGCTTTGAAACTAACCAGAATACCCGTTGGGGTGGTTTGAGGTGATAGACAAAATCCCATTCTATATCTCTGACATAAAAATGGAAGATAACTAGCAGATTAGATGATAGGAGTGAGTTCAATCCATACTGTTAGGATAGCAACAGTTGAAGCTTTAAAGTATTATTGTCATCTGAGTTTGGTCATAGTTTGGTCCTGTAAAGAAAATATTTTAGAATGAATAGATTTTTTTTCAAATATGTATATGWATATRTAYATAYWMAT